ACAGTTGTCACTGGTGTATTTATAGTCTGTTGCGGACATAAAACCAGAAACGGGGCATGCCCCCTACCTGCTCTGGGTTATTTAAAATCTTTCTACGTTGTGTTGGAAAAGTGGGTTCGCTAGATCAGGAAGACGGAGGGGGCTGGAAGTGACTTCCTACAGTCCTTGCTGAGGCAGAACTCCCATGGGCTTCACCGGTACGGTGAGCATTATTCACTTAGCACCGTAAGCGTGCATCGTGCTTTGCAGAAAAGGGAAGACAAGCACAGGACCAAATCCTCGGTGGGTGGCATTGCTCCGATGCAGTCAACAGAGCAAGGTTAATTTACACCCTGGGGGGACCTGGCCCTGCTCTGTAGCGCTCGCACTCTTAAGTGCAGACAAGAAGCGACAAGTAACCGCTGAGTAACCGGAGTTTTGCCTGAGTTGTGGGACTGGGCTCTAGTTAATGAGACAGCCTACGAATAGGAGACGAACCCAGAAATAGAAGAGATGGCCGGAGAAGCCCGAGGAGCCTGGCCTGGTCCCCAGAGACACGGATCAAAATGGGCACAAAGAAGCTACATCTCTATTGCGATGGACAAGAACCCAGCGAGGTTGTTTCGCTGGAGGAAGCGTGGGGAACTAGAGGCCAGAAGCTGTGACAGGCAGCGGGTCGAGGCTGACTAGCAGGAATCTCTTACCTAGCCTTGGACTGCCCAGCTCCCATGCCAGGCAAGCCGATTTTGTGCCTGGGCTGCACTGGAAGCCAGGATGAAGCGTGCAGCAGGTTAGCACTTTACAGCGTGCTCTTTTAGCTGCGAGATTTTGTTGTCACGTGACTGACTGACATTATTGCTTTCAAGTCCTGATGTAGCTGTAACAGGAACTCTGCAGGCCAGCGTCTCAGCTGCTGCACACGCGCAAAGTCCCACTGGAGTTCGTGGAGCCGTCCTGATTTTCACCCGCTGGGGATCTGGCTGGATGTGTCACCTGGCTGACACAGGCTGGCTGCTGTGCATCTGACAGGCGACAAGAATTCGTCACCAGCCTCAAGGTGGGCTCATGACCGTCGGCTGCGGCCAGCTGAGGAAAGTGGGATAGGAAGACGGGAAGACCCTGTGGCTAAGGTCAGGTGGCAGCAGTTTCCTTGCAGGAGGTTTGCTCTGGGTGTCCAGGCCTCTGTCTAGACCGGTGGACTTGCCATGCAGACACCCCGGGAGCCAACACCAAGGCTTGTGCCTGCTTGGGCCCATAAGGAGATGGAAACTGCTCATTCAGGACAGTGGCAAGAGAAGCTCTATGGAAATTTTCTACCCTCATTCTCCCTCCTGCTGCTTCTCCACTGGAAAAGATGTTCTTAATCAGTACGTCAGGGTCCAGGACAAGCTCGTACCCCCACAGCCCTCCTGAGCTCCAGTTGACAACCAGCCGGCTGGAGGAGCACGCGACACAAACACCTCTTCCACCAGGGAATCAAACTTCTCGCTGGCTTCTTTTGCTGCAACCTGGTCCTCATTATTTCTTAATTAACATGCCCAAGAAATCAATTAACTGCTACATTTCTAATTAAAAGCTACAGGAGATGATCATCTCATTATTATTATCTGCAGAGGTGAACAACTTGATGTGTTTTTTTTCCCATTTCTCCCACTTCCCCAATTATACGAAATAATAAATGCAAATGGCTGTGTCATTCTCACAGATTCCAGGTTCCTTTTGTATATTAGGAAAGTCAGAGAGATTAATTAGCTATTAAATGAATGTGCATAATGTTATCATTAGCTGTTGTGTGTATTCTTTTTGGCACAATTTGCTGTCCTAATAAACAGTACTAATGCGCTATCAGTCTCCTGGTGCCATGCTTTTAATTTCTACTACTGTACAAAGAGCAAAGTCTATGCATTTGCTGAGCATGTACGATCTTGATCCTGCTGCGGTTTGACTTGGGCCAGATTCTGATCTCAGGTGCGGAGAAGTCCTCTGGAGTGAGGGAAGCATCTCTGAATTTACAAGACCTTGGGGGCAGAGTTTGGATTGGTCTTTATGTGGGTTTTATCACCTAAACAGAGGCCCAGCACTGTTTGAAAAACAAATGCGACTGGTGATCCTGCTTCAGTGTTTGGAGACCAAACATGAGATGCATTAAAGGGGCCCAATGTTGAGGAGCTGCTGGGTACCTGCCTTCGGGCCCCTCCCTGCTGTGGCTCCCCTGCTTTATGGGTGGCATTTTATGGTGATATGTCTTGTGTTGTGAAGAGGTTACATCATGGATTGTGTAGGATGGTTTGGACACGGATGATCCTGCCTTAGACAGAGGGTTGGACTATATGACCTCTGGAGGTCCTTTCCTTCTCTGTGACTTTACGACTGACATCTCAGGTGTGCAAAATCTCTGCCCTTTTAGACACTCTGAGTATACACAGTGCTTTGCAAAGCAGTCCGGTACATTCGACCGTTCCCGACTCCTTCTGGAGCCGATCCTGTTTCTCACATTATCGTGTCACACCACTTTGTAAACAACACCCGAACATAATAAACTAGGAGATTCACAGTTCCTGACAATCGATACCAGGCCCACTTGGAGCCCAGGGAACATCACAGGGAATATACAGTGCAAAAACAGCAGTGCAAGGCTCTGCCACCTTCTACGCATGAGCAGCATGTCTGCGGTACAAGATTCAGGTAGTCTATGAAGAGTACAGAAGTTGTCTACAAGTCAACAGCAAGCAAAACTGGTCTTTTAAGACTCTTTGTTTCTTAGGCAATCGAATACATGAGCATTAATTTTGGGTTTGTCTCTCCTGAACCATTCTGCTGCTTTTGTTGCCATCCAAATCCTGTCCAAACCTCATCAAACAATGAGTTGGGGAATAGATTTAAGAATAGATCTGACCCAATGCAACGTACTACCTCTCCATGCTTATCCCGGGTTAGCTGCACTGACTGCAGTGAAGATAAATCTGGAATAAGGTGGGAGTGACATGGGACCATTCTCATTGC